AATGTGATGTTTGTGTAAAGTTGGTCAGAAGGTTCCTTTGTAAGTGCGCATGCGCCATTAGCGTGCTGCCTGCTGTAACCCTAATTTCCCTCGGGATTAATAAAGTATTCTGATTCTGATTTCACACTGTACAGCTCATGTTGGTGTAATCCCACCGCAACCTTTAATCCATCTGTTACGCATAACTTCACCACTGTTGTCATATATGTCCCACACCACCCTCACATACTTCTTCATGCAGTACCCCAGCTCCCCTCTCCTATCATATGATTCCCCCACAGAGACACACAGCAGCTCCTTCTGACCTTCTCTACACTTCTCCATCAATACTCAAAGCAAACATCACTACACCTTTTTGCTCGGTCAAATGAGCCAGCCATCACTTAAATTTCTGTGCACTTCTACACTGTGTTGTGGTAGTACTTCTCCTTACCAGCAGATTATTGTCCAACAGACAAAAAAAAAAAAAAATTTATATTTTTCTTTTCAACCAAGCTGGTAGTGCACTTAATCTTTAAGCACTATTGGACTATAACGTTAATTGTCAATTATATTAAAAGTATTTTCTTAATTATCAATTGTGAACAAATTCATTTTAATATGATGATATCCAGAAAATTAATTGAAAGAAAAAACAAAAACAAAACAAACAACCGCATCCTTGACACAAAGTTCTCAACTCATTCCTCAGAATAACAGGAGAGTTTTATCTAATCCCACTGCATGGTGAAAAGACATTTCTGCTCAAATAAGAGGCTCAACAAGCTAAATGCAACATGATAACAGCATATTAAAAAAATCATTAAAAATTACCCTTGATAGATGACATCAAAATCTCAATGGATTGTTTTTTTTCCTTGCCTAATTTACCGGCCTCCATAATTTCATCTGAAACTGCTCCAAGGTTACTGATAAATTAAACAATTACATTTAATTATACTTAAATAATTAAACGACAATTATGCTCAAATTCAACAAATATGATCAATGGTCAATGGAATATAATGAAGTAATGTTAAAAATTATTAAAACTATTAAAGTAGAAATAAGGACTTTGTGTGAGTGGCTTTTTGGTGAACTCCTGCAGAGTTGACTGATTTTTCAATTATTATTAGGCACTAGGGTTTGGCAATTGTTAATCCAACAATCGCCGACGGGCGATATATTCGCGCATGCGCAGACCTTTTGATGGGCGGGGCAATGTAATCATGCACGGACTGATTTGAGCATTTACAACACAGAAGTCCAAACATGGACGAACTAGTTTCCAAAAAAACAAAAACAAAAAACGCCGTCAGCATTACCGCGGCTTAAACTGGTCATCACGATTACAATTTTTAATGCTCTCATTAAATAAACGCAAAATAAACAATATTTGAACAAACTGTCGAAATGCGTTGACAGAGACATTTCACGGATTTTGACTCAGTCTGCGCTCCAGATGGGTTAATTGTTAATCGCGTTAGTCGTGATGGCGGAGCGTTAACGCTGACAGCACTAAAAATATATAAAGTCTACTGCTCACTGCATACTACTGCTCTAATGAAATAACCCAACACATTAATGGTTAATAATTGATTACACAGCAGTGGAGAGTAGACTTCATCACAGTAGATGTCTTTCTGAAAGTGCTGTAACTAAGTTTAAGAATATAATCCACCCACTGTTATCATCTTCAATGCCCTGTACCAACATAGAGCAGAGCAGCTATCTG